CCCGCCGCGCCCCCCGGCGCTGGGGGGGAGCCGGCACCGCGCTTCGGTGTCTTCCCCGGGGAGCTTCCCGCACCGGCTGCAGCCCCATCGCTTGGTGCTGTCTTGCAAGAAGACGTGTTTTGGGATTTTTTCTTTTATTATTATTTTTTTTTAATCCTTCTCATTTGTGTATGTTTCCTGCAGGGAAAGAAGAAGAAGAGGAAAAGGGATAAGCAGCCAGGCGAGACCAATGGTAAGTAAGAATAAGTCTGAATCTCTTGCTTAGTGGAAGTGTGGCAATCCTGGTGTGACGCTCCTGGGTACGGGGGAGGTGGGTATGAGTCTCTTGGCCTCAGGGGGAGCCGGCCCCTATACTAGACAGCCTTTTTTTTTTTTTATTATTTTTTATAATGCACTCTAATTATTTACGCGTTATTGCCCTTCTAAAACTAGTAACCAAGCCATTGCATGTAAGAGCCTCTCGTGACGTTAGCTGAATTTGTGCGTAGTAATTGCAAAGCCTTTAACCGCAGAGCCGTAGTTGTAATGCCTATGCCATCGTTTATAAAGTTGTCCGCTTATTTTGCGCATATGTGTGTGCGTGTACGTACATATGTATGTGTTTGGTATTAATTTGGGCTGTACCTGTATGTTCTGATGCATGCCTTACAGTGGTAAATCGCACCCATTTTAAATTAAGGAGGTTTGCCATTCTATATAGGAAATTAGAAATACTGCATAGGCAATCTCATAGTCAATTTTGAAGAAGCCCTGACTTAGTTTTTTTGAAGCCTTTGTATAATTTGTTCTTTTTTTTCAGAACACAGCGAATGTTTCCTAAATCCTTGCCTTTCACTTCCTCCGATTACAGGTGCTAACGTCATTTTGAGTCATTTAAAATAGTTTATAAACTGCTTTTTAATTTTTTTTCCTGCCATTATAGATTTTAACATTAAACACTTATGACATTAAGAAAAAAATACCATCCACACGTTTTGATAGTGTTTATTATCTATATATCTTTATATCTATTATATGTTTGACAGTTTTTTTAATTTTGTTTTTTGTTTTTGTAACAATTGCTATTAAAACAGTAATACAGTAAAAATAACGCAAGAGTTGTACTAACTGTGCAAATTGAATATGCAGTATTTCTTTAAAGAGACTGATTAAGAATGGAAGCAAGTCAGTAATGAACCTCCTTAATCTAATGGCATTTTTCATGGCTCCCACTAAGTCTTCTCACATCAGCATGCATACGCATTTTTTATTATTATTTTAGTTTTGGAATTTTTTATTTATTTATTTATTTTCCTTTCTGCTCAAGCCTATTCATTGCAATTCACTAGCTGTACTAACTCAGCACCTTGCCATGCTTTATGTTCTATTTTCTGGCTGATACTAACATTCTCATTTCGCAATCTGCTTATTCTTTTCCATTCTTTTAAATACAAATTAATAAAAACAAATAAATTGAATGTTATTCCAAAAGCTGCATTATCCCAGGAGATATAATTTCCTTTTTTTTTTCTTTTTTTTTTTCTCTTATTTTTATTTTGTATCTGAGTTGAAGAAAAAAGCATGTTTAGGATCTAACTTCCATACTCAGCTTCTTTTCTTCCTTCCCCTCCCACCCCTCCAAAAAAAGAGAATAAAAAACCCCAGCCCAAATAAATCTTGCCTGAAACATCCTACTAGACCAGCCACAATGACTTTCCTCTACCTGCTCTTTTAAAAGGGAAAGAAACAGTCCTTTATAAAGGGATACTGCAGCTTTAATTGCAACAGCTAATCTCAAGAGTTGAATAAAAATGTGATTATCACTTTTTTTAACTTTTAAATCAAAAGTCAATATTTTGCAATTAATAACGAGGACATTGATTTTTATTCCCTTTTTTATTTTTATTTTTTCCTTATTTTTATCTTTCTCTTTTTTCTCCCCCTTTCTCTCTTCCTCTCTCTCTCTCTCTCTCCCCCCCTCTCCCCTTTTCTTTTTTTTCCTCTCTCCCTTTTCTGCTCGCTTTTCTTGAACTCATTCAGACCTGAGCGCTCCTAAGAAATGCCGAGCGCGCTTTGGCCTTGATCAACAGAATAACTGGTGCGGCCCCTGCAGGTGTGTATAGTTCTCCCAGACTCGCTATGGCTGATTTGCAGCTGGTTTATTTGGTACTTTCCCCTTTTTTTTCCTGCCTTGTTGCTTTGTTAGCTCTGTGTTGTGATCTGGAAGACACAAGGGAGTGGGACACTGCCATGAGTTATCATCTCTCTGAAAGGGTTTTGCTTTTTCTTTTTCGTTGTTGGTTGTTTTTTTGCCTTCCTCTTCGCTGCTGCTAGCCAAAAACCCACTGTAAAACAGCATCAGCCTTAAGCCCATCTGATCCGTGGCTCAACCACGCTCCTGCCCTCCGAGGAAAGTCGCTCCCAAAGCCCTTGATAACGTGGCATTGAGCGCGGTACCGACACCGGACAGACGCACGGCCGTGTCGGAGACTTTTTTTTTTTGTTTTCTTTTGGCTCATTGTGAAAGTCCTGTTTTCTTTCCTGCCCTTGGTACGAGGGGAGATTACCAAATAAAACTGAGGTGTTTGAAAGCTAAACGTAGCTGTAGCTAAGATGACGCAGACCAAATGAGCTCTATCCACCATTGTGTTGTATTTTTTGTGTTTACCTTATGCTAACAGATGCAAATACTCCAAAGAAGTGTCGGGCATTGTTCGGGCTTGACCGACAGAGTTTATGGTGCAAACCATGCAGGTATAATACTACCCATTAGGCCTTTGGGGAAATAAAAGCAATCTGTCCTCTTAGTGCATTTGTGTGATTTTATTTTTTTAATCTTTTTTCCCCCCACTCCCCACCTTTCTCTCTCCCACAGCATCAATTGCTAATAATCTTTGATCTTTGGAATTTCTTGCTAATTTAATGCCATTTTCTCTCTTTCTTTACCAATAACCTCTCCCTGGTGGTAGAACTGGGAACAAGAAAACTTGAAGTCTTTAAAGCTGGCAGTTTTTTTGGCTTTTTTAGTACGTTTTTTCAGATTTTCAGCAAAATGAATGTTTAGCTGGACATATATATTTTGTCTTTCATTTGGGTCTATGTCCACTACTTCCAAAGGCTTTTTAAAAAGGTTCTGGGATCTGCAGCACTAGCGTTATTCTCATGATTAGAAATGTAAAAGCCAGTGTTTACAGCTTATATTGCACTCATTTTTTTGGTGGTGTCTGCAAAATTAAGTAGCTACCTGTAGGCATCTACGCCTCGGTAAGGTTTATGTAGATATCAGTTTTTCAAGTGATCTGATGTCTGTCTTTTTTTTTTTTTTCTGATTCTGAAAGTACATTTTTTCCTAAATTTTATTTCAACAAGTGAGCTGTAAACGCCTGAGCTCTAGACAAAATTAATTGCAACTTTAGTAGAACAGTTTCCAGCATTAAAAGCAGATGAAAGACATCAGAGAGCCCAAATTTCGACAGCCCATGTTCTACTGGAGTTTAATTCCATGTATAACTCAGTACGTACTTCTTTCTTGGTGGAGGGATACCGAGTAGTTCTTTTCTCATTCCTTTTTCCTTATATGATCGCATTTGGTTAAATTTGTTGTTTCTTTGTTCTGATACAAGCAGTCTTTGAATTTGGAATATTATGATGGTAGGTATTTCAACCCAAACCACACTCTGTGTGTAGTGATTCCTCTCCCACATTTTCCCCTCTTACTCATGCCAGTCCCATGTGCTCCATCTCATTTAGAATGTAGCTCAGACGTCCATCGTATTTTGTGTATGCACGCAGTCTTGTTTGTGCTTAGTGTCGAGGAAAACACGGCTCGAGGGTGGTGGTGTGTGTCAAAATACCGGATAAGGCACCGGAAACGTCTTCAGCAGATTGCACATTGTCCCATTTGAGGCATGCTAGTACCGGGTGTTGGGGGCTTAGATGTCAGTACCAGTATGTACATTCAACAGGCATTGAAAACAGCAGTTTCTTAAAGCTTAAAGGAAGAAGAATTCGGTCCAGAAGAGCTGGGTAGCCACTTCGCTGTGTCAGGAGGCTCGAGTCTCACGCTAGCCAAAGGCTCGAATGCTGTGTTTAATTAGGCTTTATTCTGCAGTTTGTTCACTACGCACTATCAGCAGATATTTGTGTAGTCTAGAGACAGAGTATTCGAAGCATGTCAGGCTCTGTATGCCAAGTACCAGAACCAGGGGCACATCATGTTTGTGTTGCTCTATCTTTCCCAAGCTTCTTAAGTAAACAGCATACTCTTAAAACTACATTTTATCAGCAAGGGGACTTCTCGGTCCGTCTGTACAGTGCTTAGGTTACATGTGAAGCATAAACCCTCTCTTAACTTATGCCAGATTTTGGTCAGAAATCTTTGCAGCTCATCAGAGACAACTGATGGAGCACCGTTCAATGGTGTAGCCGATAGCTTTAGACTTACTGATATAGAGTCAGCTGCCCTTTTTTTTTTTTTTTTTTTAATGCATGGAGGCATTTTATCATTAGGTAGAGTTTAGAGCATTTCTCTCCTAGTTCTGGTCCTAACCATTATAACATTGCATTTGCTAGCATGGTAGCATTTGCTAGCGCATCTTAGGTAGGTGCTAAAGATGTGCAGTTTGCTACTACAATAGAAACTGAGACATCTTTGCTCACAGCAACTGAATAAACCCATGTCATCCTCTGTGGCTTTCACTCATGGCAATTGCAGCATTACAGGTTTCCCAGTGCTGTCCTGGGACTAGTTTCAAGGGCAGCACGAGCAGGGTCAGGTCTGTTGGTGTTTGCTGGACTGATGTTGCAGTTGACGCTTTCAGAGTGGTGCACAAGTGAATAATCTTCACTAGTGCTTCTGAGGGGGGATACGTAGCATTTTTGTTCCCACTTTTAGGAGAACAAAACTGAGACACAAAGAGTTCCTCAGATACTTACTTACTCCCGTTCACCAGAATCGCCTGGTGTTGTTCAATTCTGGTGATATTTGGCTTGCAGAGTTTGGGGTTTTATCATCTATGCCTTCTGTCCCACCTAACCCTGCCATGTACATGATCACAGATAATGCCTGGTGGGAATGGCACAGGCTGGAGAAATGTCTCCTCCTTGAGCCACCATGATTTAAGTAAATGGCTTTTCAGACTGAAAGTGGCCACACTATTAAAGAATATAATATACAACAGAAGCAGAGGAAGCATCTGCTCCCTTAATCCTAGTCAAAGGAAAATTAGTTCAGGTAGCAGACCAGTGGGTTTAGTTTTAAAAAGGTTGTTAACTTGACAGAGTCAGAAAGTCAGGTAGACCTGGTTTAAGTCTGCTTTGCCATGGGAACTCTTCCTTTCAGGCCACAGAACTTGAATAGTATTAAAAAAAATGATTTTGAATTTTTGGCATACTAGATTCAAACTGCCTCCAGTGAAGTAATTAACTGCCTTGGAGGTTCAGAGCAATCCAGTTGAATGGCTTCTGGACCACCATCAATGAGGCAAGCAGAGCCTCGGTCTCTGCAAATTATTTTCATTTGGGGATGGAGGGGGAGCCCTGCAGTCTCCAGATTGTGAGAAGCCACCTTTCCACACAAGTATTATCAGTGAGCTTTGTGAAACATCACTGTTCTGCTTTGCCACTGGAGCTGTACAGAAGGGCCAAACGTGAACTGTGGCCCCAGTGGCATTGCACAGCTGGAGCTAGGAAGTGGTGGGACAGAGGTGAGGGGAGAAAGAGCAGCAGAACTGTCCTTAGCCAAGAGCCAGAGGCTTCCCGTGTTGTTTGTTGATGGTAGAAGAGTTAACAGGTTCTGTTTTGAGCCCACCAAATTAATTTTTTTTTTCTGTCTTTTAACGTTGCTCTAATAAAGCATGGTTTACAGCCTTCACTTGCTGTCTTCTATCTATCTTTCTTTCTTTTTAACATTTAAGTTGCATGGTTGTCTTTAGTTTTTAGCATGTGTTGGTCTGCAGGCTAACGTGGTTAAAACTCTAATAGCCCTAACCCCTTACCTTGCCATGTGGAACGTGAAGCAGAGCTTGAGGAAGGGATGTCACAGCGCTGGTCCCTCGCTGAAGCTGGTAGAAAGATGTGGTGCTGGGGTTACTGTTCCCCTCTTGGCTCTGGGAGATGATATCTTTTAACTCCAGGATCAAGCTGGTTAGATCTCCCTTGCAGTCGAGAAGCATCTAGCCCCATTGCCTAGGTAGCAGACCTTGGTTTAACCCAAATCAAACGTAGTTGCCGTACATAGGGGAGAACATTGGTGACCAGCAGTGGAGCTGGGACACGTACATGAGTGGGGGTTGTCACCCAGTGACATTCAGCTGCTGTGCCACGCTCAGGTGCTTCCTCTGATGAAGCTGCTGAGCCAGGGTGAGGTTTCCACTGGAGGGGGAGAGCAACCTACTCCTTCGTGTTGGTGGCTTTGTGCAGCTTAGCTGAGCGTCCAAAGTTTTTGTGGCAGAGCTGCTCCAAACAGACTTTGTCATATACTTCGGGCTGTGTGACAGCGGTTCAAATCAGCACTTCCCATGGAAAGTGTGCTTGTGAATAGGAGGGCTGGAGAGCCATCATTATTGGGGTCAAGGTGGCCACCGAACATCGTTCCGCCAGATGCTGTGGTTGTTTGCCTCATTATTTCTGTCCTGCTGCTAGAATTGTCTTGCATATACTTGGCAAGAGAGATGGTGTGAAACTGTCATCTGTTTTCATTGCTCCTTTACATTATTAAGTGGACAGAGGGAGGAGAAAAGATCTCTGTCGGGTCACTTACTCATTTATTTGAAGATGAGCGGCTCTTGTGAGACTCTCATACTCCCTGGTGTGAAATAAGCTCCATGTTACTCCTCACCTTTGTTCCTGTCGTCGTGCTCTTCACCTACTGAAATTGGATCCCACTCTGGAGTTACATGGATGGCCTCTCAGAGGAAAATTCCCCAAAATGCATATGAGCAGCTTCCCAAATCTACCACTCTCCCCTTAAAATGAAAAGTAAAACTGAGTCGATTTAAAGCCACAACCTGCAGGCCATACAACCAGTTATTCTTGTTATTTTGGATCATACTCTGTTTATCCTGTTCTTTTCCTGTTTTTTTTTCTTCTGTTTGCTTTGTTTGTTCGTTTTGTTTTTATTTCCCCTCTCTCTCGTTCTCTCTATTATATATCCCTCCTGTCTGACTCTGACGTTTCTGGATTTGGTGTGGTTCTTAACAGAGGAGAAAGCAATGAGCAGTAGTTTGCAGCCGTCCTTGCCTCCCAAGGGCAGTGCATCGTAAGAGACGACAGGTGACGCAGGTGTAGAGATAGCCCCGTTGAGTTGGACAGCGTTACAGGACATCTTGAGATACCATCAACTATCCAGAGATTTTATTTTATAAGGATTAAACCTTTTTTTTTTTTTCCCCCCACCCCCCCTGGAGAAAAGTCAAGTTTGTAGATTAGCACAGTGGGCTCCAAAAACGTCTTATCTGATTTTCTGATTATTAAAATAACTAAGGAAAGGAGGCGGTCTGAAGAGCAGGGGGACGAAGAGACAATTGGTGAATCCTTTCCAAATCTGTTAGCCGAGGGGAGGTTCCCGAGCAGGCTCGGTGCCGAGGACACCCCGCCAGACCCCCAGGACGGCGCGTGGGGCCGGGCTGCCGCCCGCGCAGAGCCCAGAGTAGCTAATTGACGGCTCTTTGCTTGAGATAACTGTCTCCGTCAGCATCTCTGCCCGTTATTCACAGATAACTCTCTCCCTGTTTCTAGGAGAAAAAAAAAGTGCGTTCGCTACATACAAGGTGAAGGCAGCTGCGTCAGCCCACCCTCTTCAGATGAAAGCTTACTAGACTCTCCTCCGTCCTCCCCCGCCATGCTCGCCTCCCCCTCCAGAGACTCGAAACCACAGACTGAACAAACGCAACCCCTCTCGCTCTCATTGAAGCCCGACCCGCTGGCGCACCTGGTCATGATGCCGCCGCCATCCTCGCTCGTCC